TGTTTTTTTAATTGCGCTATTTTTGCTGATAAATTAAATTCACTAATTTTAAAATTAAATCCATATGAAATTGGTGAATAAAAATAGATCGCATTGTTTCCCTGCAAAGTTCCAGACTTGAAACTCAGTCGAATTGCTCAAAACATCTAAATAGTGAAAATTAATGGTTTTACAGTACTATGGACACTCTTCCTAAAAAGGGAGGGTAATCGTATGATGTTGCAAAAATTGCAGATTGTGCAATTTTTATTTTCAGATCCATGTTCATTACCTGTGGAACCTGGTTCCTGCAAAGGCTCTCATCTTAGATGGTATTACAATCAACAAACACAGATTTGTGAGGATTTTACTTACACTGGATGTTTCGGCAATCCAAATCGCTTCCTTGATAAGTCAACATGTGAACGCAAATGCAATGTTGTAACTGATCAAGATATTTTACGTGAACGACGACCGCCTCGCTGTACCTTGGAGAAAGACGGTGGACCATGCAGGGCTCAGTTACCAAAGTACTACTTTAATTCGGCTTCTGGTCAGTGTGAGAGTTTCATTTACGGAGGATGTCGAGGAAATGAAAATAGGTTTGATTCAGAAAAAAGATGCGAAGAGACATGTGTGTCTATAGAAAAAGGTAGGTCAAAGTCCAAAGCTTATAAACATATAGGTTATGTAAAGTGCATGATGGGTAATAACTAATACCTAACTGCTCATTTGTGTATTAGTATTATTCTATTTTACCTCCCCAATAATCACCCTGTATATTTAATAGTTGAAAACCCAAATAAGTTATCAATGCTGACAGGTGGTGGAAATTTGTTTTTAGCAGTACGTAACACATTGCCCGCTGAAAGACTCTACAAATAGCTGATGAGAGTGGTACGGTATTTAACCACATCAACAATTAACATCACCACAAAAGCTTATTAACGGTCATTACTTTTTCCTGCTCCTGTATTAATACGTGTAATTCCTTTAATTCACCAAGCCTCACCCCAAGCTGTGTGCAGTCTGCCTAGAAAGGAAGGTCGCTGTCGTGCTTACATTCTGCAGTGGCATTACGATGAAGAGTTGAATTTCTGTACAGAATTTTACTATGGTGGTTGTGATGGCAATGCTAACAGGTTTAACTCACAAGAAGAGTGCCAAGCTTTATGTAGTGGCTTTGCTGGCGGAGATGGTGTTGGTGGTCAAGGTTAGAAAGAAAAGCAAGCTTTATACTGTCAATGTGGCCTGAGATATAAACACTCTGTACTATCTTAAATTGCTCATGTTTTATGCATGTAATTTCAGTCCTGTGACACTGTATGCAGTAGACTCTGAAGTCATAGTAATTGGTTTGCTGACACAAACCCACTCAGAAAACATGACAGTATTGCATTATAACTATGAACGCTGCTTTGAAGCTTTGCAAAGCTAATACGTACCAAACATTTATCCACAGTATATTGGATTATCAATACACAGAATCACATACATCATTTGGTGTTTCATGTTATCTTATGATATTCATATACCCACCCCTCCCATTTACATTTAACACAAATATGCTTTCACAAGTAAAAGTTATAATTAGTATGAATATAGTACTAAAATCTTGCTAAAACTTTTTTGTCTGACATCTGTCTTTATTTGCGACTGTTTTTTAATAGAGCAAATATGATAGGATAGTAGTCACAAAAAACAATCCTAATCCTCAAAATGTAATGTTAAATAGCAGGTACATAAGATTGAAATCATATTAATGGAATAAATTCCCTTTTTTAATCTAAATTCTTATGATTATAATATAATCACATTCTGATTAAATTTCCACCAATTAGAAAGCACCTCACTAAAACAAATTACTTTCTATTTGTACTAAGACTACTGATTGGATGAACATTCTCTGATCGGTGATAATTGTTTGCTACAGTCTTTCTGTGCATTACTGCTACCTACAATTAAAGCAGCTTGGTGTCTAATATTTCCATGGTTATCTACATGTAATTCACAGAGACTCTTTGTGAACAAAGACGATCCCAGTCATTACAAGGCTCACGAGGACAACTTGGTCGTTATGTTGCACAGTGTAAACAAGACGGCAGATTTGAACCTCTACAGTGTCATCAAAGTACTGGATTTTGTTGGTGTGTTGACGATAATGGTGAAGAACGCCAAGCAACACGTAGTCCGCCTGGAACACAGAAACCAAATTGCGAAGGTAATCAGTCATGCACTTTATTTATGTTTTGAGTAAGTACGGCTAAAATACAGATTAGTGTGCTTGTGACTCTATTGTGATTTCCTTTTGACCTTTAACCCAAATTGTATATTGAACTCCTCTTGACCTGTATCCTATTTAGTATTGCTCTCGCATGCATTTTTATTTCCAAGTTTTGCATTCATAATTAGACAATAGAAAAATGTCATTTTTACATCATGTGTAGGCCATAAAGAAGAAACTCTTTGTAACCGAAAATACCAGTCTGCCTTGGAAGATGTCCAGGCTTTAGCTGGGAGATATATTCCACAATGTACTGCTGAAGGAGAGTTTCAACCCATGCAGTGTGATCCTAGTAGTGGTTTCTGTTGGTGTGTGGATGGGGATGGCAATGATATTCCAGACACTAAGCTAGCTCCTCCAGATAGACCAACATGTACTAGTGAGTATCTGTATAATTAGTGTGTATAATATGAGGTTATTACAAAAATGTACTACAAGAATATTGACCAATACCTAATAATGGTCAATACAATCATATACTGTGTCTGAGAATGCATATTTTATGGTGTCCTTGTAATAACCTTATGATTTATCTTCCTGTATTGGTACAAAATTGAGCAAAATTGTGAAAATTATTTATTTTCAAAAATATCACCATGGAAATATTGTGTAATGTGTATTTTCTCATATGATAGGATACAGATGCAGCGTGCAATACCACAAAACTTTTGGTGATATAATTACAGAAGTATATATGAGAATTTTGAGAATTCTGCAAAATTTACATGAACAATGTTTTTTCGATGTCCAAATTTGCTTTTGTGAACTCAACAGCCAGCCCAGTGTGTTTGCATGGTTCATACTACATGTAAGCACATTAAAGTGGAAACTGTGGCGTACATTGTGATTTATTTTATTCCATGTGATGACTTGCCTTCTTCCTATCAGCTTGGTGAATATAAGAGATGACAATAACAATGTAAACAAAATCTCAAAAACTTTTGAGGGGTATGTA